TTCTTCGCCTTCGCTCTGATGTCATACCTCTTCACCATCTTCGTCAACCTGACGCTCATCGTCACCGTCTGCCTGGAGAAAACGCTCCATGACCCCATCTACATCTTCCTGTGCAACCTGTGTTTTAACAGCATCTGCGGAGCGTCCAGTTTCTACCCGAAGCTGCTGCACGACCTCCTGGCCGACGCCCAGGTCATCACGTACGCCGGCTGTCTGTTGCAGCTGTTTGGCGTTTACTGCTACGTCTTCTGTGAGTTCACCAGCCTGACCGTCATGGCGTACGACCGCTACCTGGCCATCTGTAAGCCGCTGCAGTACCGCACGCTGATGACGGCGCAGAGGGTGGCGCAGCTGCTGCTGCTCACCTGGTGCTTCACGCTGCTGGAGACGGCGATCGGCATCACGCTGACAGCCAGCCTGCCGATCTGCCGGCGCCACATCAAGAAGATCTTCTGCACCAACTGGGAGGTGGTGAAGCTGTCGTGCTCCGACACCACCGTCAACAACATCTACGGCTTCGTGCTCATGTTCTCGCACATCTCGCAGATCGCACTCATCCTCGTGTCCTACACACACCTGGTCCGAGCCTCGCTCAGGCTGCATTCCGACCGCAGGAAGTTCATACAGACGTGTCTGCCACACCTCGCCACGCTGCTCATTTTCACCGGCTCACTGGTGTTTGACACCATGTACGCTCGTTATGGCGGCAGCGGCGGCACGCTGCAGGCGCTGCAGAACCTGCTGGCCGCAGAGTTCCTGGTGGTCCCGCCCCTCATTAACCCCATCATCTACGGCATCAACCTGCATCAGATCCGCTCCAGGATCCTCCACAACTTCACTGCCAGACCCGACATCCAGAAACCACTTCCATAAAGAAACCTACAGCACGCTACGGAGGCAGATTGGTGTCAGAATTATCTGCAGAAACAACCCGAGTGTTAATGTGTAAAAACAACTCAAATACAGAAGTATGATTTTTAAACTAAAAAAAAAGAAATATAAAACAAATCTGTAAAAACACAAATTTAAATAAATTTGCAAATAAATGAAAAACTGGAACCTCTTTGTGAATCTCAAAGTTACATTTCCAGATTTGCATTTTACACACTTAGTCTTTTTTTTTGAAATTGCAGATCTGTTTTATACTTGACGTGAAATATTTTGGGGAGTTTACAATAATTTTTTATATTATTGGAAGTTGTTTTATATATTTACAGATTACACATGTACACACGGGTTGTTGATCCGTTTGCACAAATAACATTGACACAAATTTGTCTCCATATGTTAATTTAATAAAGACGATCATAAATGGATTTTTTTATTATTTATTTGTAAATTAATTAAATGTATTCACAGATAATTTGTTTATGTAAAATATTTTGGGGAGTTTGTAGTTCTCCTTTTTTTGTATTTTTGGAAGTTGTTTTATATTTACAGATTACACATTTACACACGGGTTGTTGATCTGTTCACATAAATAATATTGACACAAATCTTTCTCCGTACAGCTCCTGTACCTCATCTGATGCAAAACTGCAAAACCAAAATTGATTCAAGTCAAAAAATAATAAATAAGTAAAGCAGTACATCCAGTAAAGTCACAGAAACACACCAATATACAAAATACATAATTAAAATTAATTTGATATTTTACATTTGACACTAATTTTAATATTGTTTTTAATGTAAAAATAAACCATGAATCACTTTCTGGTTTTCTTTTTTTATGTTTGAGTTTTATGTCATGAGTTTAAAGAACTCAAAGGAAAAATAAATAAATAAATAAATAATAAAAAAAAAAAAAATATAATAAAAATAATCGCAGTAGTAAAAGAAAACTTATTATACCAATATTAATTTATTTATTTTGTCTCAGTCTTGAAAACTAGAAAAAAAGTGTGCTAAAAAATATTATATTTTATAAAGATATTATGTTTTTTTTTTAAAATAAATGTCTTAAACAGCTGTTATAAGAAATATTTTCACTCTCACTGAATGAGGTGATCAGAGGAAATAAAAACATCTCAGATTTAAAGAATAAAATTAAAATATTAAGAAAGAAAGAAAAGCAGTATTTTTCCAAAAGAAACGTCACAATAACTGAGAAACTGTGAAAAAAGTTGTAATAATTAAAAATGTATGACTTGTTGTATTTTAATTGTTGTTTTATTATTGTAAACTTTTTTTTTTTAGAAAAGTAGCACTTGCAATATTTTGTATTAATATAAAATAGTCTTTAGAAATTATGACGATGAAATTATAACATCTTTTTAATCACACTATTATTCTTTAATTAGGACTTGTAATATTTTAAATTATATCGATATATATTGTTTTTAGAAAAGTAGCACTTCTAATATCTTATAAATAAAAAAATATCTTTAGAAATTATGACATGTAATTTTTTTATATATTAATATAATATATATATTATATAATATTTTTACATGATTTTTATATATTATCATTTTTAAGTATGACTTGTAATATTCTTAATTAATGCAATTTTTTAAAAAGAAAATTGTATAAGAAAATTATAACTTGTAATAGTTTATAAACAGCAGCGACTGCGCCTATGACAGGTCAAAGATGGCCGACCAGCTCTGGAATAAAGCGCACAGTGACATTCATGTACAACAGATTACTGTGATCCAGCACCGGTGAAGACGCAGCAGCAACAGCAACAGCAACGGGTGTTTTCAGCCTCGTTTCTGAAATCAAACTTCAGCTTTTACAGATCATGGAAACAAACGAAGTCACTGAGACAGAGACGCAGATATTTATAACACGTGACCACCATCATTAATCAGAGAGCCATATCTCCATCTGTAGGCCTCACAGTTTACGTTTCTGTACTTAACAACTACAGCTCCCAGGAGGCAGAGCTTTGACCACAGGCGTGTTACATTAGACTGACATTGTTTCCTTTTACCTGTTGGTCCAGTGATGCCTCGTGTTCACTCTGATGAAACTCAAGAGTAAAGTGAAACACTGCAGAGACGTAAGTGTGCCGACATCTTGAGTCCGTAGATTGTTTTTAATTATTATGACTTTGAAACATTTTAATGACTTTTTTCATAGTTTTTATTATATTTATTTTCTGAGGGGAAACAGTCACATCAGGTCGTTTCTTCAACAACAAATTTAATGAGAAATTTAACGTTTCTAAATTTGACCTCTGTCACACATCGTGGTCTCTGCAGTGAACAGCTGTGTGACAGACATGTCCTTATATGTCCAAGAGTCTTGATGCTGTAGTTTCATATGATGCCACACACTGCCACCCACTGGCCAGGTGCTGTCAGTGCAACACAAATCTCTGAAAACCAAGATGGCCGACAGAAAGCATGAGATGTGCAGCTCAGGAACATCCTGCCAATCCTTCTGGCAGGTAAATAAAATGTGGTAACATCTCAGGAGTCACACAGGTGTTAAGATAAGTATTGATTATATGAGTCACACAGGTGTTAAGATAAGTATTGATTATATGAGTCACACAGGTGTTAAGATAAGTGTTGATTATATGAGTCACACGGGTGTTAAGATAAGTATTGATTATATGAGTCACACGGGTGTTAAGATAAGTGTTGATTATATGAGTCACACGGGTGTTAAGATAAGTATTGATTATATGAGTCACACGGGTGTTAAGATAAGTGTTGATTATATGAGTCACACGGGTGTTAAGATAAGTATTGATTATATGAGTCACACGGGTGTTAAGATAAGTATTGATTATATGAGTCACACGGGTGTTAAGATAAGTATTGATTATATGAGTCACACGGGTGTTAAGATAAGTATTGATTATATGAGTCACACAGGTGTTAAGATAAGTATTGATTATATGAGTCACACGGGTGTTAAGATAAGTATTGATTATATGAGTCACACAGGTGTTAAGATAAGTGTTGATTATATGAGTCACACGGGTGTTAAGATAAGTATTGATTATATGAGTCACACGGGTGTTAAGATAAGTGTTGATTATATGAGTCACACGGGTGTTAAGATAAGTATTGATTATATGAGTCACACGGGTGTTAAGATAAGTATTGATTATATGAGTCACACAGGTGTTAAGATAAGTGTTGATTATATGAGTCACACACAGGTGTTAAGATAAGTGTTGATTATATGAGTCACACACAGTTGTTAAGATAAGTGTTGATTATATGAGTCACACACAGGTGTTAAGATAAGTGTTGATTATATGAGTCACACACAGTTGTTAAGATAAGTGTTGATTATATGAGTCACACACAGGTGTTAAGATAAGTGTTGATTATATGAGTCACACACAGTTGTTAAGATAAGTGTTGATTATATGAGTCACACACAGGTGTTAAGATAAGTGTTGATTATATGAGTCACACACAGTTGTTAAGATAAGTGTTGATTATATGAGTCACACAGGTGTTAAGATAAGTGTTGATTATATGAGTCACACAGGTGTTAAGATAAGTGTTGATTATATGAGTCACACAGGTGTTAAGATAAGTGTTGATTATATGAGTCACACAGGTGTTAAGATAAGTGTTGATTATATGAGTCACACAGGTGTTAAGATAAGTGTTGATTATATGAGTCACACAGGTGTTAAGATAAGTGTTGATTATATGAGTCACACAGGTGTTAAGATAAGTGTTGATTATATGAGTCACACAGGTGTTAAGATAAGTGTTGATTATATGAGTCACACAGGTGTTAAGATAAGTGTTGATTATATGAGTCACACAGGTGTTAAGATAAGTGTTGATTATATGAGTCACACACAGGTGTTAAAATAAGTGTTGATTATATTAGTCACACACAGGTGTTAAAATAAGTGTTGATTATATGAGTCACACGGGCGTAAAGATAAGTGTTGATTATATGAGTCACACACAGGTGTTAAGATAAGTGTTGATTATATGAGTCACACAGGTGTTAAGATAAGTGTTGATTATATGAGTCAGTGAGTTAGTGTGTGCACAAACACAAACAAACAAACACAGTTTACAGTTTTCTGGTGTTTTATTGGTGGATCATCAGAGAGCCACATCGACAGGAACACACACAGAGGTCTGACTCTGTCCTCTTTACAAACAACCACACTGAAAACAGAGTGCTTTAACACAACAACAACAACAACAACAACATAAATATGTTTCTGTATCTCTCAGTAGAAAAATAAGGAACATGGATCACAGAGTGCGGCGGGAAACTTTCAGCTAAACATTAGAAACCACAACAAGGTAAACAGCTGATTTTCTCTCCCCATCTCAGATACGGAAGTTCATTCATGACAAAACCACTGAGCAGGAACAACTGTAACAGTTGAAATCTGACGCTGAACAATAACTAACTAACTACTGTGTTATCATCTGATTTAATGAACTCATTGTTTGACAATGTCAAAGAGTCCAAAGTGACGTCTCGTTTTGTCCGAAAGATCAAAAAAAGCTTCATAAACTTCATTACTACATCATTCAATAAAATATTGTTTTTATTTACTTTCCTGTTTCATTTATTAATAAACGTTTACTATTAATTATTTTTTGCATTATTTTCCCATTTTACTTTATTTAAAATAACCATGTTTATTTCTGTATTTTTATATTATACATATTTATATTTTTTAATTATTATTATTATTTTTTTCATTATTTTATTTTTATGGAGATGAATTTGTGTCAATATCATTTGTGTGAACAGATCAATAATGTGTGTTTTGATGTGAAATGTTTAAATATAAAACACATTATATATTTACAAAAAGATTTGTGAACTCACAAAAATATTTTATAAATATATAATGAGTCTGCAAACACACAAGTTACACAAAAACCTGTGAGGACTATTATTAATTAATTTATAAATAAATGAAAAACAAATATTTGTGAATCCTAATTCTGCACTTGCAAATTTGCATTCTTTGACTTTGAGTCTTTTGAGTTTATGATTCTTTTTTAAATTCACAAATAGAAACAGGACTCACAAATATCTGTGACAGTTGTTAGGAAGATATTTTCAAATGCTTTTTATTTATTTGATGATTAATTTAAGGTACTCAGATTTTAATTTTTATTTGCCATTTTCTTTTTTGTTTTATAATTGCAGACACTCACACAAGTTGACAATATTTGAGACAAATTTATCCCCATACATTTTGGATAAACTTAGAATAATCTGTCTTATTTTCTCGATACATTTCTTGATGCATTTTATTATTTTATTTTTCGTAAATTTAATGTCATATTCACTTATTTATTAAATACTTTAATTTTAGGTCATTTTAAATAAAAAATATTTCTGCGTTATTTCCTTGATAAATTTCTTGATGCATTCTTTGAATTTATTATTTTATTTTTGGTACATTTTATGGAATATTCATTGATTTATTGAATCAATTATTTATTTTTGATTTTGGCAGCTTCTGTCCTCCATACAAACGCAGGTTTTCACATCTGAGACGTTGGAACCAAAGAACTGACGACGTAAAACGAACAACTGATTATCAAAATTGTCGACTAATTAAATAATTTAATATTTTAAACAAAGTCAAAGGTCACGGATTAATGTCAGGAGAAAATTCAACTACAACTCCCAGAGTTCACTGCTGTGAGACCTGTCCAATCAGAGAGCTTGATTTTGATTGTCCTAAAACCCACCGCTGACTTCACTTCCTGAACTTTCAGTTCAACGTAAACCTTTAACAAAGAACAAAATTTTAATTCACATTATTTTCTCTTCTTGTTCTTCGATATTTAAAGATTCATTTTTACATTGAAAAAAAAAAAATCAGAAAAACAAAATTCAAACTGCGAAACAAGAACCAAAAAACTTTATCTGGTCACATCCCAAAATATTCTCATTACACAAAATCTGAATATTTGATTACAAGAAGAAACATTTAAACAGTGAATGTAAATATAAATACAACATAATTTATTTTATTTCACATTCTTTGTAACAACGAGAGTTTCTTGATGAAACAAAATAAAGTGAACAACATTAAACATTTGGTTTTTTAGTAATAACGAGGAAATTTTCTTTTCAAAACAAAAAACTATATTTCCCTCACAGTGATTTGTTTTCTGCTCTCTGTGGTTTTGTCCTGAATGAAATTCCATATTTATTTCAAGTCTTTGTAGTTCATTTCTTTGAAAACAAATATTTGGTTTCTAATTATGATGAGGTAAATTATTTTGTTATAATGAAATATAGAACAATATGTATGTAATGGTGACAGCAACAGGCCGTCGTAAAGAACCCTGTTAATGACATACTTTGAATTTGCTGTTTTGTCATAAATAAACTTCCATATTCATTTCAAGTTTTTAAGGTTCAGATCTTTGAAAGCAAATATTTGATTCTTGGTAATAATGAGGAATTGATCTCATCATGAAAAAACAATAAAACATTTTAAATACTGACAGCAACAGGCCACTGTACAGAAACCTGATAGTTTTGAATTTGTTTTCTGCTCTGTGATTTTGTCATGAATGAACCTCCGTATTTATTTCAAGTGTTTACAGTTCAGGTCTGTGAAAACAAATATTTGGTTCAACACACTTCATCTGTGACTTTGTTTCTATGAAAATACTGTAATGTGTCCTCTGACCTGATGACCAATCAGAATCAACGGTTGGACTCCGTTACCCATCATGCTCTCTGCCGTATGGAGGACACAGAGTACCACAGTTCAGACCTGAAACTTATTTTTTAATGAATCAGTTCGTATTTTCGTCTAAACTGAACTTTGTTGACACCACAGAGAGAAGCAGCAGCCGCTCTGATTCGTCTACAGACACGACAGGATGTGACATCATCACCAACAGGAAAACAGCTGATGGGAGGGGGAGGCGGGGCTAGACGCAGCGGCGAATCAGGTTGTTCCTCTCGGGCTCCAGGAACTCGTCCAGCAGGGCGGCAGTGGTCTTCCTGAGCTCCTCCTCCAGACTGGACGCCTCGCTGCAACACAGAGACCACGCCCACGCCGCCATGATTTCATCAGGACGCTCAGGCAATCATTTTATCATCATGTCGTTAAGAATGATCTGAGAGCTGATTGGTTCTGATAAATGACTTCACATTTCATATTTAAATTTATTCATTATTAATATTCCATAGTCACAGAGGCTGAACAATAATAATAATATAAATAATATTTAATAATGCTAATACTGTAGCTAATGGATAATATACACAGAAGCAGGACTCTGGTTGGTCAGGTTCACAGTTGTACTTTAAGATGTGCAGTGTTACTGAGTACGACAGTCAGCTGACCTGTTCCCCGGGGCGGCGCAGTACTCCGTGTAGTATTTGATTTTGGGTTCGGTGCCGCTGGTTCTCAGCGTCGCCACGACGCCGTTCTGGAGTGTGAAGGTGATCATGTGACTGCTCCTCGTCACAGGAAGAACCTCCACAGGAAACACAGTTACATACATTACACATATTTTTTACTGCTGCGTTCGAGTACTTTTACTTCCTGACACAACGGGAATCAAACCGTCAGCAGGAAGGTGATTAACTGATCGATTAGGTGATGGTTTCTTACTGATCTGAGGTCGGGCCGGCTGCTGTCGTATCCAGTGGTGACGTCTCTGATGTGGACGATCGGGACGCCGCCGCACGTCTTTGGGTATGACGCTTCGCCGTCAAAGTTTCTGATGCGGCTGAAGATCTTCTGGATGGTGGGCGGGTCGTTACAGACCACGTACGACGTCTTAGACACGTGATGACCGTACCTGGAGACAGGAAGTCACAACAGAAGCAACTGTCAAAATAAGAGCAGAATAAACTCGTGCAAATGAAAACTGTTTCTGAGGACGTGACGGTCTGAAGGTGGCAACCCGAGGGTTAACGTCTTCTCTGAGAGGGACGCTCAGAGACACTTCAGCGGGTTAATGTTGTCTGACGAAGGACGGAGACGATCACACACCCGTCAAACCATCTGCAGCATTTCAACAACAGCACACTCAAAGTGCTGCCATTTTCTCCACCTTCATTACAACTGAACCAAACTGAGTTCAATCAGGACTCGTCAAACAACACTTAACGTTGTTGCCAACTTCCTGCTAAGCCCCGCCCTCAGCCGCCATGTTTTTTGAGTGATCTTGCTCAGCTATTGTTGGATGGTGTCCCACCTTCTGAGTTAAAATTAATTAAAGTCTATTTGTTCTACTGTTCTTCTCATTATGCAAATTATCATAACAATCCATCATGGCGGAGCTTTACGGTCTCAGAGGCTTCTGTAGCACACCGAGCTGCACGCGCTCCAAATTTCCAGTCAACCACCACGATGTGTCATATGATGCGTATTGAATGCCGCCCCTAACACACACACTGGACACGTCACGCTGCAGCTCATCAACAGACGACCACACAAAGTTACTGTTACTGACCGATCTGTACTTCCTCCTCCTCTGCGTCAGCTTCACATCATGTGGAGAGGAGCTGCTACAGGAGCAGAGAAGAGGAGCTGCTACAGGAGCAGAGAAGAGGAGCTGCTACAGGAACTAGTCTGTACCAGCAGAGGTTGAGTGGGGGAAATTCTGGGGGCGGCGAGGCTGGAAACAGGACAGCGGGGTGAAGTGCGACATGTCCAGGAGCGCTGACATGTGTGTCGCTGCTGCCAGTGTGTTTCGGCCTTTACAGTGTGAGGGGCGTGGCCTTTTGAAAATCAGATTTTTTCAATGTTAATTACAGCGCCAACATGTGGCTGATTGAGTCGTGTTTCTTGTGGAGTATTTGCACATCAATTCCAGTTCAAGTTTCATGTTTCATTCCAGCTCATGGACGTTTGAGTCAAAGCGTGAGACCACAGATAATAATGATGATGATAATAACAAACAAACTCAGAGGCCTGAAACTGTTCTCTGCTGCTGCACAGCGGTCTGTCGGGGAGGACATTTAGAGGAGAAAGGAGGAAGATAGAACTGTACAGATCATAACTGTTGGATATCCTGTGAGAGTGATCCACACACTCTGATCTCAACGCTTCAGAGACATCAGCATCTTTATTCTGACTCCGTCAGGACTCAAACTCACGACACGTAACAGGACAACCCTCCGTCTGACATCACACTTTGACCCCCTCAGTCAGCAGAGTCACAAATCAGGACAGAGTTTAATCTCCTGTCAGAGACTCAGAGAGTTATCAAAACAAATATTATTGATAATATTCATATTGCCCTCATCTGTGTTTTTGCAAAGCTTCAAGTTCCTCTGAGAGACTCAGAGGACGTCTGGCTGGTGACTCGGTGTTTGCTGCCCTCTGCTGGTGCAAAGCTCTGACTCGTCTGAACATGATGGTGAACAGACTGAATTTAAAAAATGAACTTCAGCTCAAAGATTATGGAAGAACTGAGTTTTTGTTTGTTTACATATATGTTAATGTCACATATAACCACAGAAATAATTTATAGATTTAATAATATTTCTACATGCACATTTTGTTACTTCTCATATGTGAGTTTGGACACTTCTTTCATATCATGATAAAATCTCAAATCTTTTCCAGGACGCCTATCACCTACAGTCACCTTTCTTTAAGGTGAAGACCTGTCTGGTATTATTCAGTGACGTCACACATGTTGCAGTACGACTAATGTGCGTCACAGTGTCAATGCTGAAACGATGTATCGAGCAGTCGACAAATATCAGAGCGACGTTATGTCGACGGCTGATTGAAATAACTTCACAGTTATGTTACATTACGTGGACGTTTATCCCTGAAGACTACTGTAACAATTAATTCAGTCTACACAACAGAATTCCAGAGTTTTGCAGAACTTTCAATGATTTTTACTTATTCCATGACTTTTCCAGGTTTTTCATGACTGTGAGAACGCTGTCTGTCTTTATGGGTTTAAAACCAAATCTTTATTAAGGTTTGAATCAGAATCACTGAACTGAACAAGAATGATCTGTAAAAATGACCATGATTTATTGTCCAGATTATCAGCTGATCTGAACTGTAGATATGTTGATCAAACAAACAACAACTGCTTATACTCAGTTGTTGTCTTGACTTAAACACTTGTGTCAGTTTACATTTGGACCAGGGGCTGCTTGCACATAACACCTTAAGTTTTTTGCTTAAATATGACACTTAAGGCTTAATTTCTCCTTAGCTTAGGGACTTACACAGTTACACAGAATCTCTTAGAAGATTTCCTTGGTTAAAAAAAACTCATTTACTACGTTGAAAGAGAATTTACAGCAGTAAGTTTCCATGGAGACTGTTTGCTTGCTTGTGACGCCTGTTATCATTTCACAGAGTTGGCTGATAGTCAGTCGGAGGAAGAGATTAAACTTCTGGAGGAATACAATCATAGAAAGAACAAACTACAAAGTCGGTTTGGTCCCCAGACACGACTGTAGGAAGGAGCAACAAAAATGAGTTCAGTCAAATCTAAAGTGCAAAATCAGAAGTGTATCTGTTGGTTCTCGTGGTCGCAGAACTCTCTGCTCAGGTGGGTTAGTTTTTTTATTCATCACCATAAACTGGGTCATGCTGCAGTTAAGACAGAGTCCTTGTTTCGGTTTAGAGATGTGTGCGATAGGACGTCCACCCCTCGCTAGTCAGCACCAGAAATATTAGTCAGTTAAACCTATTAGTGTTTTATTCATGTTCAAGGTTGCTTAACTGTCATGCAGCCGCCCACCACTAGTGGGTGCTACAGAGCCGTCAGACAGCAGATTAAAGCTGCGTTAAGTCGACAGCTAAATAAAATTAGTCTGCTGTTATCCAAAGAAGATTAGTGTAACACAGAAGTGTGAATGAATTATTTAATATGTGCAGAAAAATAAGGAGAAAATGTCGCTGTTATTTCATTTAATGTTTCATGAAAGTCAAAAGTAACAACACTGTAATGAGATGAGAACTTTGACTGACTTTAAAACACGTGTTCCTAAATGAATAATTCCAGACGCCTCCTTTCATTCTTCTGTTTTGGTGTTTTTTATCACTGTGAGGACTTTTATTTTTGAGAGCTCTGACCATGTCATCGGTTCGTCCTGCAGGAAACGCAGCAGCTTACGTACGTCTGGTAGATGTTGTGCAGCTGTTGGTTCAGACTCAGGTTCTTGTTGTGGAGGTAAGCAGCCATTTCAGCCACGACCACTGCCGAGCTCACGCCGTCTTTCTCAGGAACCATACTGCCGCACAGGAAACCTGCCGACACCAGACAACAACAGTTTCTGTCAGAGTCCGACAACGAGTTCAACACCAGGACTTTATTCACAAACACAAATGTCTCACTGGGATCATCTGTGAATATTTAAATACTATTAACCTTTATTATTATCATTATTATTTTAACCATTTCTAATTTCTTGTGTATGTTATTCTCATTGTTTACCGTAACAGTCTGATCACCATACGAAGATTTAGACTAAACTATAAAACCATCTCACGTCAAGACAGTAACAGTTTTTAGTCGCAGACATTCATCGTTGAGCACGAGTGGACGTTTTTGCCAAATTTAAGGAAGTTCTTTCAAGGCCTTTTTGAGATATTGTGTTGGTGAGAGAGAGATGGACACAAGGTCACAGTGACCTTTGACCACCTAATTCTAATCAGTTCATTGATGAGTCCGGGTGGACATTTGCACAGACCTTTCCGAAATTCCGTCGTGGTGTTCTGGAGATATCTCACCCACAAGAATGGGACAGACGGACGTACAGGCAGACAACACGAAAACAAAATGCCTCCAACCACAGCTGTCGCCGGTGCAGAGGCATAAAACTCCTTTAAAAACTGTGAACTTTTAGTCACAGACTTTGTTGAGTCCATGTGGGCGTTTGTGCCAAATTTGCAGAAATTCCCTCATGGCGTTCCTGAGATATCCCGTTCATGAGAATGGGACGTACAGGCAGACAGATGGACAACCCAGAAATATTTGGCCTCCAGTAAAAATTAAACTTAGTTACCAATCGACTCCTCGAAGGCGAATATGACGCTGTTTCCTGTTTTGGTGAGTTCGTGTATTCTGTTCCCGATCCACTTAAACCCAGGAAGAGTTTCCTGTTGACCACAGACAAACAGGAGACCTTCATCATCATCATCATCATCATCACTTTAACAGATATGACATCACACACACAAGTCGTAATCTGACCTCGAAGTGAAACCCCTCGATGCGAGCGAAGGCCTGCAGGATCTTGGAGGACACTGTGGTGGCCATCATGTAAACCTTCTGGGTGTCTGCAGGATCCGGATGAGCCTCCTTCCAGTTAAAGAACATCCACCAACCCAGCAGAGCTGCCAGCTCGTTACCTGTGAACACCTTCCAACCACACCTGAGAGACAGGCAGACTCAGGTAAACTACACCTGTGCTCAACTTAGAGCATCAACACTGACAGATTTGGCACTGAAGTGCCTCTAAGTAAACATCACAATTACCTGTCAGACTTCTCTGCAACAGCCAATCGGTCAGCATCAGGATCCGTCGCCAGGACGATGCGAGCATTTTCCCGCTCTGCCAGACGAAGGGAAAGCTCCTGCAGATAAATAGTAACTGGTTGTTAAAACAGATGTAAAAAAACATGGAATTTAAGATCTGGGATCTGTGTCCTACCAGGACAGACTCTCCCTCCTCGGGGTTGGGGCAGCGGACAGACGAGAAGTTGGGGTCGGGGTCTTTCTGCTCAGGGACAGGGATCGGCAGAGGGAGACTGAAAGCATGGAAGGCCTGCTGGACGAAGAAATGTCCGACACCGTGGAATGACGAGTGGACAAACTTCAATGGGCAGCTTCTGTTCAGATCCCTGAGAGACATGAGAGACACACGAGACACCCGAGATTACCGGTCTTACCTAAAGAGGCAGAGAAGCTACAGAGGTCTGAGGACTAGTTACAGAGGTCTGAGGACTAGTTACAGAGGTCTGGAGACTAGCTACAGAGGTCTGGAGACTAGCTACAGAGGTCTGTGGACTAGTTACAGAGGTGTGAAGACTAGTTACAGAGGTCTGGGGACTAGTTACAGAGGTCTGAGGACTAGCTACATAGGTCTGGAGACTAGCTACAGAGGTCTGGGGACTAGTTACAGAGGTCTGAGAACTAGTTACAGAGGTCTGAGGACTAGCTACAGAGGTCTGGGGACTAGCTACAGAGGTGTGAAGACTAGTTACAGAGGTCTGGGGACTAGTTACAGAGGTCTGAGGACTAGTTACAGAGGTGTGAAGACTAGTTACAGAGGTCTGAGGACTAGTTAGAGAGGTCTGAAGACTAGCTACAGAGGTCTGGGGACTAGCTACAGAGGTCTGAGGACTAGTTACAGAGGTCTGAGAACTAGTTACAGAGGTCTGAGGACTAGTTAGAGAGGTCTGAAGACTAGCTACAGAGGTCTGGGGACTAGCTACAGAGGTCTGAAGACTAGTTACAGAGGTCTGAGGACTAGTTACAGAGGTCTGAAGACTAGCTACAGAGGTCTGGGGACTAGTTACAGAGGTCTGAGGACTAGTTACAGAGGTCTGAGGACTAGTTACAGAGGTCTGAAGACTAGCTACAGAGGTCTGGGGACTAGTTACAGAGGTCTGAGGACTAGTTACAGAGGTCTGAGGACTAGTTACAGAGGTCTGAAGACTAGCTACAGAGGTCTGGGGACTAGCTACAGAGGTCTGAGGACTAGTTACAGAGGTCTGAGGACTAGTTACAGAGGTCTGAGGACTAGTTACAGAGGTCTGAAGACTAGTTACAGAGGTCTGAGGACTAGTTACAGAGGTCTGGGGACTAGCTACAGAGGTCTGAAGACTAGTTACAGAGGTCTGAGGACTAGCTACAGAGGTCTGGGGACTAGTTACAGAGGTCTGAAGACTAGTTACAGAGGTCTGAGGACTAGCTACAGAGGTCTGGGGACTAGTTACAGAGGTCTGAAGACTAGTTACAGAGGTCTGAGGACTAGCTACAGAGGTCTGGGGACTAGTTACAGAGGTCTGAAGACTAGTTACAGAGGTCTGAGGACTAGCTACAGAGGTCTGAAGACTAGTTACAGAGGTCTGGGGACTAGTGACAGAGGTCTGAAGACTAGTTACAGAGGTCTGAGGACTAGTTACAGAGGTCTGGGGACTAGTTAGAGAGGTCTGAAGACTAGTTACAGAGGTTTGAGGACTAGCTACAGAGGTCTGGGGACTAGCTACAGAGGTCTGAAGACTAGTTACAGAGGTCTGAGGACTAGTTACAGAGGTCTGGGGACTAGTTAGAGAGGTCTGAAGACTAGTTACAGAGGTCTGAGGACTAGCTACAGAGGTCTGGGGACTAGTTACAGAGGTCTGAAGACTAGTTACAGAGGTTTGAGGACTGGCTGCAGAGGTCTGGGGACTAGTTACAGAAGTCTGGGGACTAGCTACAGAGGTCTGGGGACTAGTTACAGAGGTCTGAGGACTAGTTACAGAGGTCTGGGGACTAGCTACAGAGGTCTGGGGACTAGTTACAGAGGTCTGAGGACTAGTTACAGAGGTCTGGGGACTAGTTACAGAGGTCTGAGGACTAGTTACAGAGGTCTGGGGAGTAGCTACAGAGGTCTGGGGACTAGCGACAGAGATCCGGCTTTGTCCTCGTCCTACCTGTGGAAGCAGAGGGAGGAGAGCTCCTCCATGTAGCAGTTGTTGATCTGAGTCAGGGGGTCTGTTCTCAGGGAGCTGCTCTCCACCAGCTCCTCGTCCCAGCAGGAGGCGCTCCAGGGCTCCAGCTGCTCCTCGATATTCTGCAGGATCTGTTTGTCGTGAGGCGAGGAGATCTGAGCGCCGTTACACCAGTACACCTGCAGAGGGCGACACAGACAGACCTCAGGTCTCTGTTGGACCACCTGGAGCAGCAGTCACGTTTCCTGTCCAGCGTCTAATGTCACCTCTGACCTTGTACCCGTTGTCTTCTTTAGGATTGTGCGAGGCGGTTATCATCACTCCGGCTGCGGCATCGAGCTTCTTCACAGCGTACGGCTGGAAACAAACATACCTTTAATAACCCAACCACCACACACAGACAGCTGACAGGAAGTGATGCGTCAGTGTTTCCTCACCACATACGGCGTTGGGACGAATGTGGAGAAAAGATGAACGGGAACGTCTCTGCTGAGCATCACAGCGGCAGTCAACTTTGCCAACCTGAAACACACAAACATAAATGATAATAACACATCTGAGCTGAATACTGCGGTTGGTTTTAGGCCAGTCCAGTCTGGTGTACGAACTTAAACTGGTTTTATCTGTAAAAGTTGAATCACAGTGACGACGATTTTGTTTCTTTTTCAGAGCCATTTTAATGCCAGCGTTTGCCACCCCATGTGCAAATGTCCCACCAAAACAAGTTCATCCTCGACTCTATTTTGAAAGAGCATGTCGCAACATCCTGCATCCCAGCCCCATGTCTGTGGGAACATGGATGCAAGGTCACAGTGACCTTGACCTTTGACCACTGACCTCTAAAATCTTATCAGTTCATTGTTAAGTCTGATTGGACATTTGTGTCAAATTGGAAGAAATTCCCTCGTACCAGCCCGACCGAACAGTCCTTGAAACGGGACCGTCTGGTCTGCGGAGAATTACCTGGTTGCATCACCAGCTGACCCCGACCCGTTGGCGTTCCTGTTACCTAGCAACAAGCTGTGCTTGACGAAACAGGGAGTAAGCTCCTAGGGTAGTTAGCCCTAAATCATGGACCCACAGATTTATATTTTATTTAATACTTGAGGAGATGATTCAGCGCCATCTGATATATTTTCAGGTAAACTTATTAAATTCTAAGCTGTGTGCTTTTAGCTAACGTTATGTTAACAACAGTTAACCGTTAGCTAGTTAACAACTGTTAATTTCAAAGGAACCTTTGAAATGGGACGGCCTTGGTAGCACCGATGAATTGAGACATAGCTAGTGCGTTCATGAGAACAGGACGGACGGATGGATGACCTGAAACTAAAATGTCTCCGCCTGTGGCTGTTATCCACGCGAAAATCCACCTGCACTGTGTTCATGGACCCACGGAAACCTCTGAATTTACAGAGACACGCAGACAGAAAAATGTTCTCACTCTTTGGATTCTCTGTTCACTGTGGAGGTGTGAGTGCAAACTTTTCTTAATGACTTCAACGTTAGACTCGGCGAGTACCTGATGTACAGATGGACATGTTGTGGGTAAATAAAGTCCCGCTGTTTAGTGTTCACCTGTGGCTGCTGCAGCCGCTGTCCTCCTGTCCTCTGGTGTCGAAGCCAACAACCACTCCTCTGCTGCTGAAGTCTGCAAAGTATCTGCACAGGTACGAGTACAGACCCTGCAGACACACACAGACACACAGCTTCATCATCACCGCTCATATTAACCACAGGACACTGAGTAACATGTCCAGCTGGACCGGTTTGAAGCAGCTGCTCTGACCTGTGTGGACTGGATGACAGTGAGGTCGTTGATCCGGTTAAATCCGGCTCCCATTGGTGCTCTCAGTCCGGCTGTGCCGAAGCTCATCCTGCTGCACAGCCTCTTCCTCAGATCCTCCAAACGACCCGCCGCCACTAGAGACTCCACCTGAGCCCGAGTTCGCCGGTTCTGCACCACAGAGGAAGAACTCAGGTCACCACGAACACACACACATTAAACCGCCGCTGAAAACAGTCCCTGACAAAGTCACTATGTCCAGTTAGTCTGATAAAAACTTGGAGAGCTGACAGACAGACAGGAAGTCAGATAGGAAATCAGACAGGAAGACAAACAGGAAGTCAGACAGGAAGACAAACAGGAAGTCAGACAGGAAGTCAGGCAGGAAAACAAACAGGAAGACAAACAGGAAGTCAGGCAGGAAGTCAGATTCTGTCTTGTGCTGAAACAGGCATCGTAACACAAACATATCTTTGTGTCTGCATACTGTCGACACAAAGCTGTGACGTTATCTGGCCTCGCTACGGCCGCCATCAAATATGTGCCAACGCCGGGGGTCTGGTGTCTTGATGCATTTTCAGTTTAACACACTAAATATAAATAGATCTGGTTGTGGTTTAAAACATGTTTGTGAAAATCCTAAAACACGTCTGATGTTACATGAAATCTGCTCCTGGTGTTACTAATTTAAAATCCAGAGCTGCGCTGAGTGGCGGCTGAAACATCTCTAGTATCACATGATCGCCACACGCAGCTAGTTGGCGGCAGGAATGTTTAATGAGCGACAGAAGTTTATTGGTTTGTCCCTGGGAGGTGTGTGTGATCATGTGTGTCTTTGGGAGGCAAATATAAATCATGGCGGAGGAGAGAGGTGGAGCCTGAGGACATGATGGGTGTCAGCTCTGCACCAACATGTTGTCTGTCTGTCTCTCTGTCTGTCTCTCTGTCTCTCCCTGTCTGTCTCTCAGTGGGTCTTTTCCTGGCTGATGACATTTACAGTGGAGGTCAGAAACATTCATGACCTTTAAAAACTACACAGCAGAGTGTGTGTGTGTGTGTGTGTGTGTGTGTGTGTTTAACTATCCCACAGTATATGAAGGAGCAGTAAAATGATACACACACATTCTTGCAGCAGAGTCTCCTTCTCACGTCCAGCACTTTACTGAGAACATTTGATTAACATTAATAGAACCTTTAACAAACCTCCCACGGCTCTCCTCCACACTCTGATTAGTACTGATGAGTGTTTAGCGTTTGGACACTGAGCTCAAGTCAGGTGAAACACACGTGACACAGATACAGAAAGTAAATCTAAAGTGGCCGTCTCAGTTTATCAGCATCCTCTGGTTAGATCTGTAGTTTGAGCAGCAGCCCTAGAGCCAGCCCTAGAGCCAGCCCTA